GAACTTGAGTCTGAACATATTACTGCCTTGGATATTTTAACTTCACTAATCCACCTTATTGCCATAATTATTGCAAACATTTCTCCAGTAAACACTGATAAACAAGGCTGTGCGGATTTAAATCTAGCGGTTCTTTTGTGTTTGTGTCTCAAGTTCAGTGACGCAGGTAGTGACAATTCTCTCCGGCCAATCCGTGATCAGCAGAGTTTACACGTCACGTTTTGGTAACGATACGGTTCACTTGGAACCTCAACCGAGGTGGTACTAAAAAAAGTACCAGGTACCAGGTACTGTACCCAGTGAAAAACCCCCTAAAAGTGAACCGTACCGAGCCGGTTTGGAAAGATACAGAGATTAGAGATGTGAGCAGTCGGGACACTCCAGTATTTTGAGAGACACGCCTCTGCAGGCCTCAGTGAGCATTGCATTATAAAATAATTAACTTTATGCATGCACATATACTGTAGATCATCTGAACACTGAACCAAACACATCAAAACAGCAAACCAGCCATAATTGCTCTCCATTTATCTTCTCTCTCAGTCAAACACACATACTTGAGTTCATTCTCTAGTGCCGTGACTTTGGACTGCAGCGCCTCCTTCTGTTCCTGCATCTCCTCCATGTCTCTGATGGCCTTCCTCCTCAATCCCTCAGCTGAAGAACCTCATATACACAGATCTTCACACACACTGCTCTATATGAGCACATGTACTGTGACGTGTGTATTCTTCACCTGGTCTCTCTGCTCTGTGTGCTGATGTGTCTCCTCATCCACGGTGATGTTCAGCTCCTTTAGCTTACTGTTCTTCTCTTTGCAAAAACACATACAGCTATGTGCTTGAACCTCAGGACGTCCTGAACTTGAAGTATGTTAGGAGTTTTCTTATGCTCTATGCTTCTTTATGTTAAGTGTTTTAATGTGAAATGTTGCAGGTCTCAACAATAAGGATTTGCTCAAGGTTGGTGCTGCACTGACTGCCTCTTACATTTATGATGTAACTTTTACTTTTACATTTAACAACTTCACACAAATTTACACTTACATTTACATTTAATGACTGGAAGCATTAGTGGAGTAGAATGAGTTAAAAATTTTAAACAAATTAGTAATGTTTTGCATTGTTCCAGAAAAAGTATTTTTATCCACCTTATTTTTAACATAAGAGCATATGTGACCCTTTTTACCTTGAATGTGCAAGACTTCCGGTGTCATTCACTTCCAGTGTTTTTTTTAGCCTTACAAAAAGATCCCATTATGCTGCTTGATTTTGCAAACTGGTATTTGTTATCATATTATTTTAATTTATGACAGTCATAGCCCAAGGATATTACAGAAGAAATACAATTGCTGGAACACAATTCTGTAAGTCAAAGTCTGTTAAATTGTGTATTGCAATAAAAAATATGATTAAATAATGAATGTGTATAGAAAAAAAAGAAAAAAGTCATTCTACAAATCGTACAGTTTCCACTGGTGTCCTTCATATATACATATGTGTATAAAAATGCATTACACCCCTGTTGCTATCTAAACTCTTTTAACAGCAGTGAGCTATTCTATAAATCTATTCTGACTCACTATTCCATAAATCATCGTCCTTTAAAGAAGAACTTTTTTCAAGGAAAAGCTAAAGTCTTTTTTTATCACTTACATTTTGTTTAGTTGACAAAATAGATAAAGAAATAGCAGCATTAAATTCTCTAAGAAGCATCTTGTTTCACAAGCACAACACTTGTAATAATGTCAGATTGAACTGTAAAAATCTCAACCCTGTTACATTTCTTAAAGGAATAGAAAATGCCTAAACACTGTATTGTGTATTGTGTACACTGCAGAGTGTATAGTAAAGTCTGTTGATAGCGGTTCATACAGCAAGTTATTCTAGCTGTCCATGGTTTTGTGAAAAAGCTGTGAAAAAGAAATCTGTGAAAAAGAAAAGTGGTCAAAACTGAAAGTGAACGATAGAGACCGTCAAACACTAAGAAGGACTGTCTAAACAACACAGAACTACTGCAGCAAAGGGACAGAAAACCTCAGGATTCACATTGACACTTTGAACTTCATAAAGCAAACATCCATGAAAGAGCGGAAACTGCTAAAACTTTAATCACAGACACTGATGCTAAAATGGGGAAAAGATGGTGTCATAATCATAAGTCCTGGACAGTTGGAGAACCAAGATGAACTTCATCATCTGCCCCGCCAGACAAATCACCTGACTAGAATATTATCAACGATGTTTGACTGGAGACTATACCAAAGTTGTATAAATCTGTTCTAAGAAGGTTGCAAGGTGTATAAAATGGAAAGGGTTTAGTAAAAAAAAAAAAAAAAAAATACGCCCTATTCCCAAGTGTTCGCATTATTTTGTCCACCCCCTGTATATAGTCCTTACATACACATTTTCTACAAATGTATTATCTGAACTCCCTGTGAAGCAAAAAAAACCAGTGACATTGCCAGCAGTGGCGGCTCGTCGGGGGAGGCAGGGGAGGCACAGCTCCCCCATAATTTTAAGGTGAAAATGGGAGGAGGATGATTTAATGTTAATAAAATTCACAATTCATTTCAGTTCATGTCTCAGAATGTGTATTTTTTGTTTGTAATTTCACAGTTGTAAAACCATAACGTGAAAGCGCCGCTTTTCCAGCCAGTTGAGCTGCCAATGGAACGTGCTGGGCCCTCTACAAGGAGCGTACCAGCCGTATCCTTTGGTGCTCCTCCCAACGACCAGATGTCGATTGCTGCATCGGAGGGTGAGCCAGAGCTTTCTGGAGAGGAAGATTCGGCTGCGCAGCTCTCCTCCGGGACTGTAGCAATGCCGAATCGGATCCAGAAATAATGGCTATGCTTTCCCGGGCCGCCGTAGAGGTAGGGCTCGAGTGGAGACTTCCACCGTGTCCCGAGCCCTCAAGGTTGCACGATTGGTTCTCGGGATGGTCCGCACTGGTTCTCAGCGCCCCGCCTCGGTGCCTTTCTTCCCGGAGGTGCATGAGGAGCTCAACAGGTCGTGGACGGCACCTTTTTACTGCCGGAAACCGATCTGCTGGTTCCTCCTCCCTCACCACCCTCGACGGTGGTGCAGCTAGGGGGTTTTACACTCGAAGTAGATTGGTCTCTCTAAGCGAGATCCCAATTTCGTCGGTCATCCGACGTGACGTCTCCGTTCCCTCCTTCAGGGAACGAGGGTTACCATACGTAACCGAGACGTTACTCTAAATTTAATGCGGAAGTACTGTAGGAAACATGGTCTAATTCTGTGCTCATGTAGGCCTTATATTAGAAAGCTGCTATTAGAATATTTAGAAGATGGAAATATGAAGACTGAAAACACCTCATTACATCACATGACATTTCAAATAGCTCACTGCAAAACAACTGAATATATGAGCTCAAGCCACAAGACCTTTTACATTCATAAAACTGTTTGTGATCTGGGTAAAATGCAAGAGAAATACAATTTTGCACACATTTCAAATCACCAAACCAACTAGCTACATGATTTTATTATGAAAAACAATATAATATATTCAACATAATTAAAGATATAAACTTGGCCAGAAAGTTTTCAAAATGTTTGGTGTTTAGTACTGTTGCTGTTGTACCATATGTACATGACACACATCAGGGGCCTCATTTATAAAACGTGCGTACGCACAGATTTGATCGTAGAGTGTGCGTACTCAAAAATCCACGCCAATGTTCATATTTATAAAAACGGTCTTTGACGTGGAAAAGAGCTTAGCGCCACGTCAGGGTCTGAGCAGATGTACGCACTTTTGTTTGCCCGAGTTTTGGAAATATAAGCCATTCTTGCCGCTTGTAAAAGATTTGGACATTGTCAGGTGCTCTTTTATAAGTCAATGACATTAATTAGACATTGTTTACTGTTCAGCTGCGCACAATTTCAAGATCATTGCAATTTATAGATTTCACATCTAAAAGAGAGGCGTACGCACATTTTCTGTGCATACGTTCGTTCTATGAATCACACGTACGCACTTTGAGAAATGATCGTAAAATCTAATTTAGGATGCTTTCTACGCAGTAGTTTATAAATGAGGCCCCAGCTTTGTAGCTGATGTGCGTCATGGACATATGGTACAAAATACAAGTACACCATAAGCACACTATAAAAACACAATGGAGAGGAACTACTAAAGTACTGGATTTATTTCTGATAGAAAAGGTTTTGCTTACACAAAAATACAAACCTTTGATTTGATCAGTGCTTAATGCAAATTCTATTACAAATAAATACAAAATACATGTACATAAATCATTCTCATTTACTTTGGAACAAGAACAATTACAAACAAATAATTATTAGATTTACAAGGCATTGTAATGGTGTACCATTCACATGAATTAGATACTATGGTAGAACATATCAGTTATTTCAGCTACTTTATATAATATTTGCTTCAATATTATACATTGAAGTAAAAAACAGTAGATCATGTGCTGGTAAACTAACAAAATAAACAAAATTAATAATTTTCATTGTTTTACCATCAGGAATGAACAAACGCTGATTTGTCTTTTAGCCTGTCGGTTAACGATTGATCATTTTGGTGGAAACAGAAACACTAGTTGTGCTTTCACCTAAAAAATATACAATAATTGCACAACAGAAAAGACAGAATTTCACAGTGCAGTTGATTCAGAAATGCTCTGCTGTTTTATAATGCTAAATTACATTTGCTACAGGTACATCAGCACTGAACTTGATTCTCATTCTTTAAGTTCAGCATTTGTACGGACATAGTAGTAAGGTAAGTATGGCTGAAATGTAAATGTCTTTATTGTGATTATGTTGTATTTTAGCATCACTGATGCATCCGTGTAGTGCTGGTTCACTCGTACCTGGAACTTACTCTGTAAACATAAGGAAATAAGTGTGTTATGAAGAGCTGGAGTCTAAACAGAGATTGAAATATAATCTCTTTCTTCAAACTAAAACTTGATTTTCCTCCTTAGATGCATGTTTTGAACTATTACCTGTATTTCTCTTTGTATTGCTATACTAAATTATAGTTACATATACTTCTTTATTATTTTCTTCCCCCATTCAGATGACTTGTCTCTCTCTCTGCTAACTGGATTTTTGGAGAAATGTTCTCTGCTGTGTTCATTTCTTCTTCTAATACCCTGATATCCTTCATCTCCCATCAGTCTCTCTTAACACACTCCTAATGAAATCATCAGTGCTCATAATCGGTCACAGGACCCTTAAAACAAAATTAAATCTTGTTTCTTTCCCTCCATCTCTGTTAATTCACTTTATTCAAAGTTCTTATTTCTTCTATTAACCCCTAATTACTTAAACGAAAAAAATGTCTCAAATTGTCTTTGCTAATTTGAGCTGAGGTGAAATTCAGTTTCTAAACGGCTTCAACTCTGAACTGATCTCCTCTAAAAAGGTATTTTTTATACTAAAGGGATCATTAAGGCTTTTCTCATAAAAGTCTCTAAAGTGGAACTGATGTCTAGATAAATAAAGCCATGTCTGAAATCTATTTGACTCACTGACAGTGAAAATGTCAGGTGTCCCAAAGTGTGTGAAAAGCTGTCGTCCTGTTTTATAGATACTTTAACCTCAGATTGAACAATCTGATTTATAATTATGGTGCTGTGGCGTAGCAGTTATAGCCCAAGAGTGGGAATTTTAGAGCAGCACTGAAGTTATTGTGTGTCCATGAATGAAGCCTCAATGAAGAGGAATACCAGATTCCTATCTCGGTCTTCAGCAGGAACTGGTCTGTAGGTTGCTCTCGGTGAGGATGGAGGTTATGCTGGAATGATCGTACAATCCATCATCATCATCATCATCAGAGCTGAGCACTGAAGACTCCAGAGCTGACTGTCTGGCCTGCTGGATCTTCCTCCTGAGGGGAAAAAACAATACTATTTAACAGTAGTGTCCAAGAAAAAAATCTTTTAACAAATTTAACAAATTCTTGTGTAATTATTAAACGTTAGGGGTGTAACTGTACACATATTCATATCGAAAATTTTCAGTATGGGTCTTTCGGTTCGGTACGCATGTGTATTGAACAAATCATTCCGTTTTTTTCAGGAAATTCCGACAATAATGGCCGTTTTGGTGCTCTGTGATGTGACATGACAGATGTATAAAAGCTGAATAGTCGCCTCAGTTCTAACGGCAGCATGGAGTGCGATCATCCCTTCCTCTTTATTACTAGTTTTAAAGCGAAGTAAACATGAATGAACATCTCACACCTCACATAATCGCTCAATTAGTGTTTCAACCGTTTAAAGACGTCATTAAAACAGCTTGTAAACAAAATGTCACGTAGCATTTCATTTACTTCAGGCGTAGTGCGACGGAGCGACGAGACAAAAACATTCAAACCCATTACAAACGAGGCATTTGTTGCATCCAGTGGGGACATAATTACTGATTATAATGACTTTTACTGTCTTTTTACGCGTTGTGTTGCATCGCGCCGCGTAAACATAAAACCCTGTCTGCATTTGTGATCGGAGAAATGACAAACAACAAGTGCTACTCTACACTGTTATGAAACAAGTTATGGCAGCCACTGTGTAAATTATTATATTTCAACAACAAATTGAAATTGTATAATTTAGAAGTTAATTTAAAAACTGCATTATGTGCAATTTACATGTTTGCATACAATTGTTTTTCATTTGAGTGTTGATTATTATAGTTAAAAATAAATAGTAATTGAATTTAAGTTTGGCCTAAATAATTAAATAATCTTCTGAACCCTCAAGAAATGGCTCAATGTTTTCGATGGATAAAATAAACTTCTAGACCCAAATGTAAAGGATGACTGACATGTCACAAGTTATTCCCTCACTCAGCTCCTGCAGTTTTGGTTTGTTTTTTGGCCATTTCACACTGAACAAAACACACCAAAACATCAAACCAGCCATAACTGCTCTTTATAAACAAAAAGCTTATTTATATGAAAAAAAAAGGAAATACTCCACCATTTTCTCCTCTCAGTCAAACACACATACTTGAGTTCATTCTCTAGTGCCGTGACTTTGGACTGCAGCGCCTCCTTCTGTTCCTGCATCTCCTCCATGTCTCTGATGGCCTTCCTCTTCAATCCCTCCAGCCGCTCCGCCTCGGCCTCTCCTTCATCCACCTGCCTCTTCAGAGCCTTCACACGCAGAGTCAGCTGAAGAAACACACATGCATTAAACACACATACTCTCACGGGTCTCTCACAGGCAGATCTTAGAGCACATGTACTGTGACGTGTGTATTCTTCACCTGGTCTCTCTGCTCTGTGTGCTGATGTCTCTCCTCATCCAGGGTGATGTTCAGCTCCTTTAGTTTCCTCTCCACACGCCTCTGAGAGGACAGCACAGAGTTCTTCTCTCTGTAAAAACACACAACTATATGCTTGAACCTCAGGACTTCCTAAACTTGACATGTACTGAATTTTTGTCTTATTGTTCAGGTGAATTTTTGTTTCTTCATTTAATTAAATTATTTATCCTGGCACATATACAAATGTGCTACAATAAAATGTTAAACTTTATTGGTAAAGCCAGTGAAAATATTGGCAGAGCAAATTAAAATCTAATCAGGCAAATAAATCTACTGACATTTCCCCCAGTGTTATTTTATAAAAAAAATAAAGCATCCGAAATTAGTAGTAGATTTGAAGTAGAAGCAGTAGTTTTTGCAAACCGCTTTATGGCCTGCATTGTCTACAGTCTGTGTATTTTCTAGCAGCATAAAGTGCTTTCAATTAAAGAAGAGTGCTTTTCTCAAGCATTCTGTAGTGCTTTGTTGGTAATGTAATTGTTTCTGCCACTTCATGGTAGTGGCAGTTTTAGAACCGCAGTTCATTAGGACCTCTTTTTTTTTTATTTACCTCTCCTCTGCACGCAGCCGTTCCTCGACATCCTGGATTTTGCTCTCCAGCTGAGACACACCAGTAGAGGAACGTGACTGGCCCTCCATCTCAGCTACACGAGATTTATAATCCTTTATCTGAAAGAGATGCAGATTAGATGAAACCCTGTGGCCAATTTGAATGAAAGCATTGTACAGTTAAAAAAAGAAACACTTTTATCATTTTTGTTATCACAGAAACTCAGGCAAAGATGAATGCAGCATACACTAGGACTATAGATCTGTCGTACTGTTCAATAGTCATGTGGCATACCTGTCTCTCCAGAGCGTTTTTGTCCAGCTCCAGGTCTTGTTTGGAGGATCGTTCTTGCATGAGCTCTGCACGCAGCTGTTCAATCTAGAATTACCACCACATTTTGATTATTAGAATTATGGTCACTACATTACAAAAATATAATAACATTATTTGGCAATATTCAAATATTACCATTACAGCCCTAAATGATAATTCTTGTCAACATTTAACATCTCGCCAAAAATTAGTTAATAAATATGTATAGAATTATATATAATTTAAGCCCTTTGCTACTATACCAGCTAGCCATATTATGGTACATATATTTTCATATTTCTTTCTGTATCTTTATTCTTATTTTATTATTAATATTTTATTTAATTGCATTTAGTAAACAAAGACAGCATTACAGCTGTGTATACACTACTTTTCAGAAGTTTGAGGTAAGTAAGATTTTTTTGGTAACACTTTAGATCAGGGAACACATTTTCACTATTAACTAAGAGTTTTCCCTCAATAAACTCCTAATTTGCTGCTTATTGATAGTAAGTAAGGCAGTTTTTGTAGCAGTTATCTTTAAGTATTGGGATGTAGGGGATCTAAAATGTGGTCATGCAGAATAAGGCATTGATATGTGCTTTATAAGTACTAATGAACAGCCAATATGTTAATAGTGAATAGTGTTCCCTAATCTGCAGTTTTATTGATTAATATTTTTTTGATATTGATTAATATTGACTGATATTTTTTTAAAGACTATTTTTATTCAGCATTCAATTGACCAAAAGTGACAGTAAAGAAATTTTTACAGGACTTCAAATAAATACCATTCTTGTGAACGTTGTATTCCTCAAAAAAAAAAAAAAACTTGAA